TTTATCAGTTTCTAGAGTATTATATTAATATACAAAACAATGCCTCAGTGGTTTATACTTAAAATTTTTACACACTTTTAACTCTTTTTAAATTTTTCGAGTGTTAGGAATATCTTAGTTTGGTTTATTCCTTTTTATATCGAATTGATATAAAATATAGCTAATATTACAGAAAGACATTAACCCTTACATTTTCCTAACAAATTAAACCCCCGCTATGAAACCTGTTAAATATTAAACCTTATTCCAAAGTGGCGCCGCCCTTGTGGCAGAAAAAGTCGTGGATAGAAGCCCTGATTACGACAGCCATTCAATATAGCCGATGACATCCCTTCTGGCTATATTATATATTATTACTAGCTGACCAGGCAGACGTTGTTCTGCCCTTTCCAACAACCATTTGCTTTCCTAAAAAAAAAACTCCTGAGATTAGCAATAAAAAAATTGAAGGTCACTTATCGGGATAAAAACTATCCTATCTCTCAAGGACCAAACTGCACACAGTGTGCAAAATTTCATTGAAATCAGTTCAGTCGCTTAGGAGTCATTCGCGGACAAACAATTTGACACATAATTTTTATATATAAAGAAAGCTGTCAGTGAGGGCTTTTCCATCCACGAATTTTTCTGCCACCAGAGCGGTGCCACTTAAAAGTGAGGTATAATATTTGACAGATTTCATAGTGGGGAAGTTAATTAGTGCGGAAAATTTATTTATTTATTTAGAAAACCAACAGCTCTTATGAATATACAATGTTCATAACTTATAAATGATTATAACAGCCAATTATAGGTTTCCCTGTATAAATCTTAATTGGTATCTCCTACTCTTAATACATATCAAATAAGAACAAGGTGAAACTAGTAAACTATGACTAAGAGGGACGCGCGTGCGCGCACGCACGCATGTGTGTGTGTGTGTGTGTGTGTGTGTGTGTGTGTGTGTGTGTGTGTGTGTGTGTGTGTGTGTGTGTGTGTGTGTGTGTGTGTGTGTGTGTGTGTGTGGGTGGGTGTGTGTGTTTGTGTGTTCGTGTAGGTATGGGTCTATAGATATATAAATAAATGTTTATCGTACGTATTATTTATAATATATCAATATAAAAAAACAATAAACAATATATGAAATGATATATTTTAATGTTATAATAATAGGTATGCAAATAGATAAGTTATTTACCGTAAAAGCTTGAGAACTTCTTGTTTGAATTTATCTTTGGACATGTAAAATATATCTAAGTTCGAGAATTTTTTATTATATATTGAGCAAATCCGAGTCAAGGGTGAGTTTCTTCCATAGTTAGAATTTCGAGCGTTGGGAGCGAATAAAGGGGTGTGTATTGTACGCTTCTTGGGTACATTTACAGTTATTGCAGATAGCAAAACCGGGGAATCCAGGTAGCCATTAGCTATATTAAACAAAAACATCATATCTAAGAGAGTACGTCTATTTTCTAAGGACGTTACTTTATAATTTCGGCAGCCTTTAACATAATCAGAATAAGTGTGAGTTCTATAATTCAGGTGCCTTATGAACTTTGCCTGAACACTTTCAATTTGTTGTTTGTGGGTAATATAATAGGGAGACCAAATACTACTTGCGTATTCTAAAACGCTTCGAACGTACGCGTAGTAAATACTTTTAATACAGTTTATGTCTGAAAAAGGTTTGCAAATACGTAGAACAAATCCTAGATTTTTGTAAACTTTTTGCACTATACTCGTAGTATCCACGTGTTTTGTCATTGTCAGTTTCTTGTCAAGTGTAATGCCTAAATCACGAACTTCATCTACTTCTTCAACTGGGATGTTATTTATACTATATGTAAATTTTATAGGTTTATTTTTACGTGTGAATGATATTTTTTGACATTTAAGTACATTTACAGTTATATTATTAATAGAGTAATAATACGACAGTTTGTTTAAAGTGCTTTGAATGGTAAGGCAGTCTTGAATATTATTAATTTTATAAAAGATCTTTTTATCATCCGCATATAAAAGGTAGTTTGTGGAGTCAAAACAGGTGAATATGTCATATATATATATATGCATTGTATAATAATGGATCTAGATGAGATCCCTGTGGAATCCCGGAGGGAATATTGATGAAGCTAGACCTGTATGAAGCAACTACTACGGCCTGAGATCTGTTCGAAAGATAGGATTTTACCCAACGTAACAAGTCTCCATGTATTCCCAATCTTTCTAGTTTGGCGAGCAAGATAATGTGATCCACGCGATCAAAGGCTTTTTCGAAGTCTGTATACACAACATCAACTTGCCTCCCACGTTCCATATTATTAAGAACGAACTCAAGAAACTCCGCAAGATTAGTAACAGACGAGCGCCGCATCAAGAAACTGGGCGTGACTTACGCCTTTCGCTATTGTGCTGTAGATTTGGTCATAAACGATTTTTTCAAATATCTTACTGAAAGTATTTAAAATGTAAATTGGCCTATAATTTTCGATTTTGGATTTAGATGATTTTTTATGAATTGGTATGATATTGGCCTCTTTCCATTTAGTAGGAAAAAAAGATTCAGACAAAGATCTTTCAAAAATTATTTTTAGGGGACATACCAGAGCTTCAGCACAGTTACGTATAAATATAGGGGGGATATTATCTGTACCAGCCGATTTATTGGGGTCAGTTGATTTTAAAAGTTTAAGTAAGTAGTTTTCATTTATATTAATTTTACTAATAACACAAGACTCACTACTTGTGGGTAAATTAAGGGTTGATAAATCTATACTTGTCAGGGATTTAGCAAACCCACTTTCAAAGAACTTATTAAATCCGTTGCATATTTCTGTTCCATTATTATAAACATCCGAACCATAGGTTAGCGTTTTAGGATAGTTAGAAATACCTTTTTTAGATTTTACGTATTGCCACATTTTTTTGGGACAAACTTTAGTTTGGTTTTGAACATGAGTTATATATTGGTTGTAAAGATCATGTTCAACTTGTTTTGCTCTTGTTCTTAATACGGAAAACTCCCGATAATCCAGCTCATTCCCAAAACGTTTCCATTTCTTATGCATTTTTGACTTTTCTTTTAGTATTCTAATTAGGCTATTGTTATACCACAAAGGATAACTTTTGTTACTTATATTAACCTTACGTTCGGGAACATATAAGTTTATACACTTATGTAATTCTGAGGTAAAACAATTAACAGCGTAGTCTACTGATTCGCAAGAGTTAAATAGCTCGCACCAATTAAACTTTTTTAAATATTTTACCATGTTTTCAAAATTATATTTATGAAAATTACGCTTAAACATATACTTTTGTTCTATAAGAGGCCGTACTGATATGTTTGAGGCGTCAATTAAGAGGCTAATATGGGCGCGATCTTCGTTAAAAGTTACTAAATACCAGGTCAAGGGTATTACCATAGTGGTTTTTTTTAAATAGCAGATTAAACTCTTCCAAAAGTAATTTACCTGCATTTTGAATTGCTAACGAGCACCTGTTAGTATATATTGGCCCTAGTTGAGAAGTCCATTGGATAGATGGTAAATTGAATTCACCTACTATCAAAAAGTTGTCATTATTATGTGATGCCTAAACTTGTGAAACGCACTGTAATACATTATCAATAAAAAAAGGTAACTGATTATTAGGCGGTACATAGACAGCAGCTACATGTAAATTAGAGCCCACGACTGAATTAAAAGATTTAGCATATATGGTAACCCAAAAATGTAAAGGTTAATATTTATCTCTGTACTTAGCTAAGTATATTTTATATTAATAAGATTTAAAAAAAAACCAAACCACAGATATTCATAAAAGTAGAAATTTTTTAAAAAGGAAAAAAAAATACAAAAAGTTAAAGAGCAAACCACCAAGACTTTGTTTTGTGTATTAATATAATAGGTACTCTAGAAACTGATAAATTTTTATTAAAATTGACTTCTTAATTAAATGACATAGTTGTGAAAAAAAAACTTTACCTCAGTGTCAACTAGCGGCATCTAGTGAGCAGAAAATTATTAGCCTTCATTGAAACTATTTTGTGCAAGATGGCCGATTGATTAATTTGGACCTCACAATAAATCTGGATGGTCGGAGCTCTTCCGGGTAAATCGTATATTCATAACGAATTCTTTAAGGTTAACAAAAAAGTAAATATATATTTTTTACATGTAATAATTACTATGCAATACCGTCGTCGGCGACGGTATCTGAGTTAACTGCAATTATACAGCGTTGCCGTTTTTTTAATAATTGTTTCTAACGAAATAACGACAAACTGATAAGTAAAGCCTGAGATCAACAAATGTATAAGATATAACCTCTAGATATTGTTACCCGACGGCCGTTCTTTTCCCACATGTATTGCCATGTAAGTTTCTCATTCAATAATTGTTTTTTATTTACTCTTTGAAAAGAAATACATGTATAGAATCACGTTATCTAAAACACCTTCATGGATCGGATAGGGTTTGTTTTTACATACTGTCTTAGATAGCGCCTAAAAAGACTACTTACGCCTTGACCTTAAATAAAGGAGAAAAAGTGATGAATGCAGCAAGGAAGTACACAGTATCCACAGTGACCCCAAAATAACTATATTTTACCATAACAAACACACGGTGGCGACAAGAATTCGATACGATAGAAAACTTATGTTCCGAGGGCAAAATAACATATTGAATGCAATACAAATTGCAAGAAAAATGTTTAGTATGGGTTATTGTACCATACCTACTAAAGAGTACATGATTGATAACAACCCTTGGGAATGGGGTGATCCCTACCATGCTGGTATCTGATGCTAAATATTTTCATACATAATTGTATAAAATATTATATTTTAAATTAATGTTTTTAAAAAAGGGTTAGGTTTCTTGCTAGTTCTTCCCAGGACAGAAGATTTTTCCAAACCAGTGTTAAAGCTTAAATGACTTTCAATAAGTATTCGTATTCGTAGATTAAATTAAAAAAACAGCTAAAAAAGAAAAGTATAGGTATAGGAAAAAAATTACTTGTAATTTACTCCATCGCACATATCGTGGCTAGAAGGCAAACAGTTAGCAGATGTCATAGTTTCCCTTAAATCTTGATAAGTCTCTTTTGAACTCGCAAAACCAAGTGATTGGTGGAACTTATCGACAGCATCAAAAAGGTCCCTCACTTGAAAACTTTCGTTGTTTTTTAGCATAGGCCTGAGAACATTAGGATACGCAGCAACTTTATTGTAGATGGCTTGCCATTCTTGAGCCCACAAATTGCCTGAAACAAGTTTTTGTTTAGCAAGTTTGCTATAATCATTTTAGAAGGCACTTATATAATTAATTGCGTTTCATACATAATTTGAATGTTATTCTTTCGTCTCAATTTTGACCATATCGATATTGGCTATTTGGCACGAATTAAAAAAATCTCTGCACTATATATTTAAAATAAAATAATTATTACTAAGGAAACTCAAAGGTTCCCACTAATAGGCGATAAATGACACGCGTACATCATGGCCTTACAATATAATCTAAGATGCCACACACACATATTGTAGCAAACACCAGATATGATTATTCTAGCCAGTACTGAAGCAGCATGTTAGTTCTTGTCAATTTTACTTGGTACGTATCTTTACTGGATAGATGTTTGTCTTGGTTGGTACCTGTTACGATTTTTCCACGAAATAGTAGTGTACACATGTACTGTTTTGGTATTTAGGGTGTGAAGAGAGAGAGAGAGAGAGTACAATTAAAAAATACGAGACATTAAGTTCTTAAATAGGTGATAGCACATTTATGATACTCTTTGTTACAAGTTGGTGCCAGGTGCCAATGGCCTGCATTTACCGTCTCGTGAACTGTTAGCACAATTTACGCCAGTTTTAAAATTTAAAGAACAGTTTCTCAAAAAATTTTATGCACAAAATATCTCTATACAAATATTATCTAAATGCTCATATTATATACAGGGTTATTTTTCAATAACTGGTCTTTGCATAGAAGATTCAGAATAAGTAATATAGACAAATGGTGAAGAAAAATTAACTGTGTGCATAATTTTAACTAATTTTACAGTGCACTATTTTTTTTTACTTTATTACGCACGGATTCGCAAGGATCAATCCGTAGACAAAACATTGTTGCCCATAAATCACATTCAATTTGGGATAATTTCAAATAAATTACAAGCAAAATTGCAATAAAAATACGAGTAAAGAATATTTTGTATTTTTAAAAACTGCAATAACGTTATAACATTATTTATATATTTTATGTTAAGGTTAGAATTTGGCTACTCTTTGAAAAGTAACCTTGTATATTATAATATTAACAACACTAAATACATAAATCCTTAAGGTGTACCGACGATATTGCACAGAAACAGAATAATTAGTAAGTAGATTTAAAAAATAACTCTTGAAAACTCACCCAGAATATGTGCTGGAATCATTTTGTCTTTATCGACCAACACATCTTTAAAAAATGTCTTCAATTTCGCTCTGACATAAGTATGCAGAGTATCATATAAAGGCTTTATTTCACACCAAAGTCTAGAAACAGTTTTATAAAAGTCATCGTCTTCGAATGTATACCGCCACATTTCACCAGCATCAGTAAAATTCTCGGATTGCGCTACACTATTCATTCTCGAAACGTAATCTTTAAAAATTGGTCTTATCTGCTTTCCAGTTGCATCTCGGTAAGCTTTCCAATAATACGCTAACTCATTGGTATCATTACTTATTTTGAAGACTGAAATAACATCTGGAAACAAAAATAAAATTTTATAATATTTTTTTGCGATGTTAAAAGTTAAAAAGTTTAAAGTAAAAGTTACAGCCTATACACGTCCCACTGCTGGGCACAGGCCAGTATTTAGGATGTTAGCAGTTAAAAGATTAAAATATCTCAAACTAAACTTACTAACCACTCATTGTCCGTACTGATTCTTCTTTATTGCAGTTTGTTGCATTATATGCACATACTGTAACTCGACTCCAAACGCGTTGCATGGCATCTATTTCCTCTCTTTGCTGAAAGAATAAAGACTTACAAATGAATAATATAAATTATATTACCTACGCGATCACAGTTATATAATGTTATTCTTACTTTGCTTTCGGGTGTATGTACATTCGTCCCCCTCTCTCTAATAATTAGTAATTTCCTCTTCAATTTCGGGTCGCTTAGCAGTTGTTCATCGTTAATATATTTCCTTTTTATGATATTCCAGTATTGTTTCTTTATTTCGTCTTCTTCTGCAGCAATTCGTATCTGGAACCATGTTTTATAATTGAAATTAATAGAAATAGAAGGCATAGTTTTGCGGAAATTCATTATATTAAAGAAAAGAAACCAAAATCTATTTGATACGATTTACGTACTAAAAATAAATCATGTGTATTTTATTGAATCATGTATGAATTAATATATCATTTTGTGAAGACTTATTCTATTGCGATAATAAAGCGAGGAAAGTTGTATTCTTTAAAGATTAAATAATATATCAAAATATGAATCGGAATCTAAAATTATTTTTGGTAATTTATTTTGGCATAATTTCTGTTTACAATATGCTATTGTCCATTTATGTCTGATTTAATATAACTTACCATTTTACTCTTCTTAGCTTCATTATTAATATCATTTACATAAGACCACAATGAGGCCTGAGATGATTTACAAACATCTAAGCTCAGTTTGTCCATTTCGTCCATAAAGTTTTCAATTGTCATATTTTCCTTATCTAATTCATCCAACTGAATTTTGAAACTCTCAATATCGTCGTTTCCTTTCAGTATGACGGTATTGGGGTCTAAAATCGTTTTCATTGCATCATCTAAATACTTCTTATCTTTTATATCTTCACTATCTACATCGATTTCATGACCGCTCTCATCAGATTGTTCTAGAGTTTTGTTACCTTTTATTAAATTTTTCTCATCTGCTGACATTTCTGAGGTAGGATTTGTTGGGAACTGCACGGCTTTTGAAATTGATAACGTCAAAGCAAAACATAGTAGGTTCTGTAAAAATAATGTATATGAATCCACTTACGCTTTATTTTTCTTTGTGTATTTCATAACACCAGGGATTATATTACTAGTGTGTGACAGCGATAACGTAAGAAAATAAGATAATAATGCTCCGTCATCAGTCTGTAGCGTTCGGCTTCGATATTTTGGTTAGGCTATCCGCCATCAGTCTGTCGTAAAAATTTTGTTTGCACATATTATAGTACTACGTGCTTTTGTATACACATACCACAAACAGGTGAGATTGATATTCGGAGAAGCATACCCGTCTCGTAGGAACATCATTAGTCGTAAGTCGATCTTGCAACAACTGAATCCCCACATTGTTCCACACTTTTTGAAAGGGCTACTGTAACGCTCATACATGCTCACTAAAAAACCTGCCTTCTCGATACCAGCGTCGGTTTGAGAGAGGCTTAGACTGGCCTGAGCTACATGCATCCGTCTAAGAAATAATAATGCATTGTAATACAAGACACCATTCCTCCCCCATAACTCACCACCTCACATTCAGATTAAGGTATGCCCAAGCGTAGTGAGATTCAAGCCACTGCCACTATGAAGATATTAAAATGTTTCAAGAGTAAGCGCAAACACAAAGAAAATCAGTCGCCCCAATCAACCCGATCCAGATGTAATGTGTATGCGTTAAATCGGAGGTATACTAGGATGAAGCTTAAGAGACACGGGGACAATCACGGTACAACCAGATCCAAAAATAAATGTTCCTTCGACTAGGTTTGACTTTGATTACTACCCGACGATTTGTTGTATTACTAATATAATTGTCATAATCATGATCATCATTACAGATCATCATTAAAATAAATTTCACCAAAAATTGCGTATAACGAAATGCAAATATGTCAATGTGGTCTACTTAGTATTATGAAGTAGACGTCCGGTACTTGATTTTAATTATGTTTTCAGCTTAGGAGGCTTATCAGGGTTAAGCTTGAATCTTTTACACTGCATTTGGATGTAGGAATTGCGTTTGAAGTTAATTACGATAAAAATAAAATTCACCAAAAATTGCGTATAACGAAATGCAAATATGTCAATGTGGTCTACTTAGTATTATGAAGTAGACGTCCGGTACTTGATTTTAATTATGTTTTCAGTTTGGGAGGCTTGTCAGGGTTAAGCCTGAACCTTTTACACTGCATTTGAATGTAGGAATTGAGTTTGAAGTTAATTACGATAAAAATAAATTTCACCAAAAATTGCGTATAACGAAATGCAAATATGTCAATGTGATCTACTTAGTATTATGAAGTAGACGTCCGGTACTTGATTTTAATTATGTTTTCAGCTTAGAAGGCTTGTCAGGGTTAAGCCTGAACCTTTTACACTGCATTTGGATGTAGAAATTGAGTTTGAAGTTAATTACGATAAAAATAAATTTCACCAAAAATTGCGTATAACGAAATGCAAATATGTCAATGTGGTCTACGTAGTATTATGAAGTAGACGTCCGGTACTTGATTTTAATTATGTTTTCAGCTTAGGATTCTTGTCAGGGTTAAGCTTGAACCTTTTAAACTATTTTTGGATGTCGCAAATGTGTTTTGAATTAATTACGATAAAAATAATTTTCACTAAAAATTACTTATAATGAAATGCAAATATGTCAATTTGGTCAAATATTATGAAGTATAGACATCGAGTACTTAATTCTAATTATGTTTTCAGTTTATGGGGGTTTGTCAGGGTTAAACTTGAGTAGCAGTGAAGAGCAGTCAAGAGGTTTTTCAGAAAACAAAATTATAACAGTTCACATTACATTGTTTCATTTACCACTATCATAGCAGAGCTTAGGGCAACCTGACTTTATTGATAAGATAGGTCGAATCTGTACTAAAACTAAATCAGCACGCTCCGACTCCACGTAGTCTTGTCTGCCCTACCCCTGGAGTGTTTTTGTAAAGTCGAAGGCGTGGAGGGATAGCAGCCTCCGCCCGCTGCAACAAACTACCCTAGACATCGCCTACCTACCGGTAGTACCTTCCTTTCCCATCGATTCTCGGTTCTTCGAGCTATATAGCCGGCCCATTGCCACTTCAGCTTACTAATCAGTTGGGCCATGTCGGTTACTCTAGTTCTACTGCGGATATTCTCATTTTTATGTCTATCATGCAGAGAAAACCCTGGCATAGCCTGGCATACAGTCAGCAATGAAGGACTTATGTCTCAGATTCTTAAGTCATCACTAGCAATACGCCCCAGTTGTACAATCTTGTTTTCAGGTTTTGTGATATACAAACATAATATCACACATTAACTTGTGGCATCCCCTAACAATGAATAGTTCAAACGTAGTTGTTAAAAATGATCACAGCCTTTACATGACTGCTCATCTTGACTATGCATTTTCTAGGTGCAGTTTCTGCAGTAGTTTTATTTAATGCCATATATTTTGTAGTATTACTAGCTTGTTTTGTTACTAAGTTTGCTGTTGGATTAGTAGATATGTAAAAACAAAAGTTAATACATATATTATATTTTAATTTCATAAACGTCAACAAGTGAAAGAAAATTTAATCGGAGTACCGATAGATCAATAATCTGATTACATTTTCTTTAAGCATATTCTTAATGGTTTTAAAGTCCCTATTATTAACAAATAGTAGCAAACGAATTTATAAAATGAAAACAAACGAATAATTCCTTATTATTAATTTGGCTCGCTGGTTGTGCCTTTGTAGCCTTTATCCTTTAAAGTTCTTTTTAGTTTTTAGTACTAAGCAAAAAACTATAGTTTTGGCTTCTCTACAACTTTTTATGACAAAGTATTATTTCGTATGAAGACATTTCTTAATGTATGTATGAAAAGTATAAAATAACATTTTAAATAATAAACAATAATGGGTAAAATGTGAAAAAACCTTGTAAGTAATAGAACATAGTGATCAGCTAGTCAACAATATAATTTTACATAGGTATATATTTATATTGATTGTATTTAGGTATTCAATAATAAATAAATAAAGTTTGTTTCTGATTCAATTTACTTTTATCAGAAAAAACTATATATCAAGATTGCTATTTGTTATGACCTTTAAAAAATAATTGCATACAACTGGCATCGTAGGTGTTAGCGGAAATTGCAATTGAATTTTTAATATTTCTCCGTTATGAATACAGACTATGAAACAAATGTAATGTGAATCAATACCCACCGGGAAATGCCTCATTGTGAAAACAGTCCAATAAATTATACGAGGCTAGTAACGAATAAACTCCACATCACTCACTACATCTTCAATTAAATTTAACACGTCTTTCCTCCACAAGAGTTGGAACATGAAAGTCTTTCAGTTGAAATAGTCGATTGTTTGCGAAAACAGCTCACTGTTTGATCGTTTTGTGATGGATTTTTTCAAATTAGAACAATCGTATGAGTGTTATGTTTTCAAAACGTGGAACGTACGCACGGCGCGCCTCGCCTGCGAGCGCAGACGCATTGTTGTGCCCACAACGAAATGCCTGGCTAGTTCCAACAAATCGACAGGACGTTCTCGTGCAAGCGGATACTGTCCGACATTATATTACTACCCTTTGTCCAACACAATTATTCAAGAGAAGTCTCGTGATTCGTGGTTATTTAATATTAAGCGCTTAATGTTTCTCCTTTATAAACACAATTGTGGTGTATGCCTTTCATTTTTCTGTACCAGAATGAAACACTATCAATAAGATCAATGTACTTTAATAGGGTCACAAATGTACATGTGAAAATTTTTGTGTACAATGAATTACAATTATTTAATCTTTCTTGAGAAACGAAGCTAAGATATTTGCCCCGTTTACATTAATCTCTTCGTACCCATAGGGTTCTAGTTCCGTTTTGGTCCTCTCGTACCAGTTCTTAACATTTTCATGGGCACTGAAGTCATAACCTAAAGCCTGAAAATAAAAATGAAATATATATAAGACACTTAATAAAGTCTAAATATGCTTTCATGCCTTTTAAAGTACATTCAATTAAATTTATTAAAGCGAAAGTACAATTAAGTCCACCTCTTAGGTCTGCTCTAACTCTCATAATACCAACTTTATATTTGACAACTAAATGTAAGTTTAATTTTTATTTTGTTAGAAATATAAAGAACCGATTTTAATAAAAACTTAATCAGGTATTGATTACGTAATTGCAATTGCTGTCAAATAGTTAATCAGCATTATTTGAAAGAAGAATCACAAATCACTATTTATTTAAATTTTGACTTTTAAATATCAGACCCAATAAGATTTTTGTGAGTAGTTTAAAAGTAGAAGAATACAATTTAATAATAAAGAAAGAAAAAAAAAGCAAAGTATTTCCACAAATAATTCGTCGAGAGCTAGCTTTATATAGGTTTAATAACCCAGATAAAGCTAGCAAAATATTAATTATTCAAGTGGTGTGACAGATTTGCGAAATCTATGAACTAACAAATAACCCACAAAATTCATTAAAAATCTATTAAAAGAAAATTTTGGAATCTTATATTAGATATCAATGAAAACAAAATACACTTAAATTTGTAGCAATAGCTTCAACATTTTTAAGGTTAACAACGCAATTTGTAAATTTTCGTAATTCAAAGTTAAAACCTTAAAAAAACAAAGCACACACTGACGGAGATAGGTCTATTAGTAACGATTAAAATAGGCTGTGTATGTTAAAATAAACAAGTTGCACTTAAAATTGCAATTAACAGTTTCATTGGTGCCGGCGGGGATCGAACCCGGATTGCTCGCGTACTGTGAAATTTACAGCGAGCACTTAGCCCCTGTACTACCACCAGTTACCACGGTTCTTAGATTGAACTTGAAAAATTTAAAACAATAAAATAATTTGTATTTAATAGCTTCAGAAATTTGTGCTGAGACTGACTTTGAGACTCGACTTCAGACTAGGAGCTAGGACTCTTTTTGGTCTAGGAATCCGTCTGGGTAGGACCACCCGCTTACCTATTTCTCTTGCCAAATAGCAGTGTCTGCGCTGTTGTGTCAAGGTCTTTAGCGTAAAGAGAATCAGCATAACAACAGGCTGTGAGGCATTCCATCTTAGTCCTCACAGGTGACAACGCATCTGTTTTTATACGTGATAAAACCATGCTGCAGCTATACTAGTAGTATAGTTGTAGAACGAATGGGTCAGCTCGACCGAAGAAGGGCCACGCTCTCACAGAATACCAGCGTAAAATAGCAGCTTAACACTGCTATGTTTCGTATGTTGAGTGTAGAGAACCGGAGCCCCTTTTTACTGGAAACGAGGCATTCCATCTTAGTCCTCACGGGTGACAACGCATCTGCATTTTGATTCGCAATCGAGAATAGATGTAGATGTCTATGGGCCACAGCAATCACTTACCATCAGGTGGACTGTGTGCTCGTTTGTCACCTTATTCTATAAAAAAATCTGTGGTCTTCTTTCCTTCCTTCCTACTGCAGGTGCCGAGGATTGCAGTTGCCACTTACTATCAAGTAGATTGTAAGTATTTACGTCACTTAAGTTTAAAAAACATATCGAAAATATCACCAACTCCTTTTTTGAAGTCGGTTAAATTAAAGATCAATTTGCAACAAATCTGAATCTTAATGAATACATACGTGTCTAAAAGCATTATTTAGTAGATTTCTCTACACAGCTCGCTCGTTTATAAGAACCGCCGAGATTAGTTACGAGGTGTAAAATTCTCGTAAACTTTCATAAAGTTACATTCGAAAGCGCAACGTTATGTACTTCATATTATATTTTACTGCGTAATAAACATCAATTTCTATTTTATAAAATTACTGCTACTGCAGTGGCTATGCGTTTGGTTGCGTCGCTGCAGGATCGCAGGTTCGAACCCCGCACGGAATGAGTGTTTGTATGGGCTTAAAACAGGATCTGGATGATTATCCTTGAGCAATATATGTATGAAAAGTTTTTCCACGATACAGGAGAATACCCTTAAGTCATGGTAACGTTTTTAAAAAAAAAAAACTGCTACGCGTAGTTTACCTTACATAATACTCGTATAATATTTTTATTTTTTTACGATGTACTAAATTACTGCAAAATTTCAAGTGATGTTTTCCAAATTCTATCACTAGCAATTAAATAAATCCTCAAAGACTTCAAGGTTGATTATATATCTACATTTTTATTTTCTATTAAGGATGAGTATTTGTTAATTTGTTATTTTTAATGATACTCTTTCAATTATACACAGAGTTAATCTCCTATATAAAATGAAACAACACCATTTGTGAATAACAGGATTTCAATACTGTGTTCGCGACTTAGAAAATGAATATTATCTAAAAATATTGAACTTTTAACTCGCTTTAAACTCGTATTTTAAAAAAAAAACTTAATTTAAATAGAACGTTGCCCGCTCACGAACTTAATCTTCTAGTTGTCGAAGTATCTACATGTTGTTGAAATCTAGACTAACACCCCTTAAATGAATAAAAAGTAATATTCAATATTATAATAAAATGTAGTCGTAAGAATCAATATAACACTACAACTTGCTTATTATTACACTATATTTGCTCTAAAATTCCAAAGGTTGATCACAAACTCCTCTAGAGTAGGTACAGTTATAAAATATTTTATTCTACAACTGTAGAGTTACTGTTCGACTTTGGAACGAATTACCTAAAAAAATCTACGCGCAAGTACTAATAAGGCTTCGTACAAACACTTGTTATGGAACCACCTTACATAGCAAGACTAGTCATTACTATCTTTCTCTCTACTTTATAATATACACAACTTTATAATTTTCAAGGTAGGTTGTATGTGTGTATATATTCATGTATATTATTTTAAATATGCATTGTCTATTTACGAATATAACTATCGTAACTGTATGTTATTTTTAAATTAATTGTAAATTAAACCTTGCATCATCTTTGTTTCAATTACTTTAATAAACCATATTAACTTGTGGATGCCCGCGAATTCGCTTGCGTAATATTAATTTTCTATATAACATATCATATCTTAGCTCTAATATTCGGGGTATTAAATTAGAAGTTATATAATTTATTGATTTTCTATTAAATTTTTATTAAAGCTCAACCTTGCAAGGCTCAACCGATGGTTATAAAATTTAGATATGTTTTTAAATGAGACTATAAACAATTTAAAACAAATTTTAAAGAAATACATACAGGGTTATTTTGCAATAACCGGCCGAATTCGCAGAGAAGGTTCAGAATAAGTAATATAGGCAAATGGGGAAGAAAACTTAATTTAAAGAAATCCAAATATTCTGTCTTTTAATCTTTTAAATTCAAAATGCGTGGTAATGCATAATCTTAACAGATTTTACTGCGTACGCACACATTCGTTAGGGTCGTACGGTAGAAAAAACTTTTTTTTTTATAGAATGCGGGTGACAAACGAGCACACAGACCACCTGATAGTAAGTGGATGCTGTGGCCCATATACATCTACATCTTCGATTAGGAATCAAAATGCAGATACGTTGTCACCCGTGAGGACTAGGATGGAATGCCTCGTTTCCAGTAAAAAGGGTCTCCGGTTCTCTACCATCTGAACCATACGAAATATATCAACATTAAGCTGTTATTTTACACTGGTATTCTGTGAGAGCGTGGTCCTTCCCCGGTCGAGCCGATCCATTCGTGCTACTACCACTTACAAAACGTTGTTGCCGATAAATCACATTCAATTTGGGATGATTTCAAATAAAAGTAGAAGCCTTATTTACTTGTTTTTTGAAAAACTGCAATAACGGTATATCATTATTTATATATTTGAACTTAAGTTTAAAATTTGGCTACTCTTTGAAAAATAACCCCGTGTATTAACTTTAGCCTCTCAGAATAATTACGAAAGTTGAATGTGTGCACAAAAGAAAAATAATCTTATTGAAAATAGTAATGTACATTCTGAAAATACTAGAAACCAGTACAAGCAAATAATACCCGGTAATTACTTATTTGGGCAATGTATATCCTTTTATAACAAAGGCCCAGATAAAATTCAGAAGCTGTCTATCAAAATGGTTAACATTTTTACTAAGCAAAAATTATTGAATAAGGGTTTTTATACTACTAAAGATAACATGACTGATAATAACCTCTGAGAATGAGTATGGGTTATCGCCACGAAAAAATAATATTGTAAACTCATGTTTAAAAAAAAGTTATACTGGGTTTCAGGCTAGTTCTTCCTAGGACAGAGGATTTTTTCCAAATCAGTGGTAAAAGTATAAGTGCCTGTCAATAATTATTCTTATTTGTAGGTATACTGAATAAAAATTCATCATAAGAAATCATTTCTTAAGACACTCACGAGTTTGAGTTTAAGTAATGCATTGTCTTATGCTGCGGTACAGAAATACCAAGTGTATTGCAGATTTTTTTTTTATAGGATAAGGGTGACAAACGAGCACACAGTCCACCTGATGGTAAGTGGTTGCTGCGGCCCATAGACATCTAGATCTATCCTCTGTTACAAATCAAAATGTAGATGCGTTGTCACCCGTGAGGACTAAGATGGAATGCCTCATTTCCAGTAAAAAGGGCCTCCGGCTACCTGCACTCACCAAGCGAAACGCAGAGGTAAACCTCTACTTCACGTTGGTTTTCTGTGAGGTCGTGGTACTACCCCGGTTTGAGTCGGCCCATCCGTGCGATAACAAAAGCTGCCGCGTGGCTCTACCACTGTTGAAATTACTTGTACTTATGATATATATGATAATGAATAAGGTAATAACACGTATTGACAATTGACTTACATCCAAATTACTAATAGTAACAATAATTGTTATATCCGCAATTGTGAGTTTGTCTCCAGCGACAAACGCACGTCCTTCCAGCATTGAATTTAACCATCCCAGTGCTTCATCTAGCATCTTAGCTTTTGTTTCATCATAAGCTTCCCCATGAAATAAAATCGGTGCCTGAAATATTAAAAACAATCTATTTGTTTGCAGTTGCCACAGACTTTCAACGATTTCGTAACTTTGGTTTGGATCATAATTGAGTTCGATTTAACGTTAATTTGACATTTAATTTCGTTGACACAATATTATTTAATAAATATTATTTTAATAACTTATTAGTTACTTATTATTTAAAAATAAAAAATATAAGTTATTATTGTTTTAAATAACACATTAAATTAATATCTTTACCATTACAGCCTATTAAAGTTCATGGATGACAATAGGCCTCCCACATAGATTGTCTCATGGGGGGGATATTTGACCACTTGAGAAGCGGGAAGCGGGTTGGCGACCGCAGTTTATTTTTATTTGAAGTTGTTATTACGAAGACACTGCTGTCCATCTCCTGATTTGTTTCCCTTTGTTGTCTCTTACGACACCCACGGAATGATATGGGGCAGTGGATATTTTTACTCTTATTTTAGGTTATAAAATATTGTCGGCAAACGATTCCCCTCAAAGTGACCACTTCGCACCAATCGCACTGTATATTGAACTTACTTTAGATTAGATTAGATTTTCGTACAAATATACACTTTCCAATCATTTGTATAAACAAATAATAGTAATTCAATTTCAATAACGACTGTTAAGTGTTAAAATGGAATACAAGAATATAAGACTTACAAAATATATAAAGTGATTATATATTTAGATAATATTGCGTTTATTGTTAAATATAATTATGCAAATGCAAATGCGATTTCTTAAAAAAAAAAACAATTTAACCACTTACGTATAACTTCAAATACCGCAAGAATAAAGTGCCAAGATCAAAGTTCAGCCTCTGATCGACGATAGCTCGTTGTTTGGGTTCCTCCGGATATAAAGAATCGTCAGCACCATAAGCATTCACAAAGTAAGCCATAATAGCTCGACTGAAACATACATTAGAGGATCTTTCGTTACGGTCTTTATACATCGTAATCTGATGAACAAAGTTTCAGATTATGCTCTAAAGCGGTTCGTTTTAGCCCTTAGATAAAGCAAGGCATATGTAGATTTTTTCGTTAAAATTTAGTTAAAAGTGTCGCTGTCCTACTGGAGCCATTTACTATCAGGCGTATTGTCAGCATTTGTTACATATATTCTTCTTTATAAGCATCTGCCTGTTGATATACTGCTGGGTTTTAACAGAGTCATATTGAAATTTGTATCAAAAGTTATCTAGTCATGGCGATTACGGTAAAACCTCACTATTTTTATAAAACTGAAGTGAACTATCTTACAATCTACCTGATGGTAAGTTGGTTCTCCAGCCCACGGATACCTGCAGTCCACTTAAAATAAAGAAGGCGACAAGTGCGTTGTCATTTCTCAGGATGAAACTGGAGTGCGTCACATCCTGTAATTTTTATGTGGTAGAGCCATGCTGCGGCTATATTAATTGTATAGATGTAGCACGAATGGGTCGGCTCGACCGGGGAAGCACCATGCTCTCACAAAATACTAGAGTGAAATCCAGCATAATGCTGCTGTGTTTCGTTTGGTGAGTGTAGAGAAACGGAAACCCTTTTTACTGGAAAAGAGGCATTCCATCTTAGTTTGATTGATTCCTCACGGCTGATAATGCATCTGCATTTTGATTCGCAAACGAGGATAGATGTAGATGTCTATGGGCCACTGCAAACACTTACCATCATGTGGACTGTGTGCTCGTTTGTCACCCTTATTCTATAAAAAAATTATAATGGCTATCTATACACTTTAGATCAGAACTGAACACAGCTATTTGGTAGCAGTTCCTAAGAGGGTGGACCTATTCAGATGGACTCGTAGGCAGAAAAGGAGCTCTATCAACTGGTAGAAAGAGAGGGTCTTTAAAGCAGTGGATTGTTCACAGTTTTTTTTTTTATAGAATAAGGGTGACAAGCGTGCACACAGTCCACCTTATGGTAAGTGGTTGCTGTGGCCCATAGACATCTACATTTATCTTCGTTTGCGAATTAAAATGCAGATGCGTTGTCAGCCGTGAGGACTAAGATTGAATGACTCTGTTCCAGTAAAAAGTGTATCAGGTTCTCTACACTGACCATACGAAACACAGCAGCATTAAGCTGCTATTTTACGCTGGTATTCTGTGAGAGCGTGGTCCTTCCCCGGTCGAGCCGACCCATTCGTGCTACAACTATACTATTAATATAGCTGCAGCATGGCTCTACCACGTACTATAGAGTGTAGATTAAGAAAGAAAATTATCTACACAACACACATATTTGAACTAATTTACATTGAAAATTGATTATCATAACTAGCGTCAATACGAACGTTAGGTATTACTATCCATTTTAATTACTATCCACCTTAAAGTGGATAGTAATACCTAACGTTCTTAAGCTTAAGTGATTAAGGTGGTTTAAGGTGGCTTAAGCCCACGACTGTCCACCGCCATTTATATTTTGCTTTCAGAAAAAATGTAACCTTTTAACGGGTTGGTCTTTTGTACCAAATTTGGCATACAGGTTGCCTTTTCGATACACTTCAAATATAAATGGGTATATTTGACCGACTGCTACTAACTCACAGAAACCGCCATATGTAGAGTGTTGTAACATATCTAACGTATACTCTTCTTTTGTCCCATGATTGTAGCCATGACGGTCATGAGACATAACAACAAACTCATCCCAAATGTTCGTCACATGACGCACAATTACTTTACGAATATCCATTGAGCGTTCTTGTCTGCCGTACAACAAATAAGGACAATAAGTAACACATACCTTTCCCATAAAATGAACCCGTTGTCATCCATCGTCGGTATTGTATGTTGAGGATTCATCTAAACAAAAAAAAACTATAATTAGCATTCATTTTTCGCCTCATTTGCGTGTACTTGCGACGTAAAAGAATATACTACTCCATATCATCTCGAGTGTCGTAAGAGGCGACAGAAGGAAATGAAACAGGAAATGGACCGCAGCATCCTCCTCATAACAACTCAAAATAATAACTGCGATTGCCCACTCGCCTGCAAGCGTGGTGAAAAAAAAACATAAACACTCAACCCTGTCACCCAAAAGGGCAGAGACTATGGACTTCCATTTGGCTCGATCCTGACACACCTCTCTCGCTTCCTCCACATCCATATACCTACGCATACACGCTCGTCGGTTAAAGGTACTCTTGATTTGGCCCATTTTCAATATATCGCCAATTTGGTCGATAAACTTTCGCCTAGGGCGTCCCTTCCCGACTCTGCCGTTCACCTCTGCAACATAAATTTGCTTTGTCACTCTTTCCTCATTCATTCTTTCTACATGACCAAACCACCGAAGCATTCCTTTCTTAATCCTGGTCACAACATCATCTTGCAAACCACACTCTTCTCTTATCAAACAATTTCCCACTCTGTCATTCAGATTCATCAAGCATGGTGACTATGGCAATTATCCTATTTATGGGGTAGCAGTGGATTTTGAATGTGAAATTAATTCATGAAAATGACTGATTCCTGTCCCTTACATTGTACTATCAATTTTCAGTTGCAGCACTATTCATAAAATAAACCGTGAAACTCAAAAGTAAGTTCGAATTTTGAATCTGCCATTCGCTTCTACTGGTGTGATCATTCCTAGTATAATCCCCACTTTAAAACTTAGTAGGAGTGCTTAAAAAGATTATTTCTAACAGCAATTCTATAAATAAAACAAAACTTCACAAAAAACAAGTGAATTTAAAGGCTTGATTTTTTGTGCTATTAAAAATATTAATCACCTACAATGCCCCTGGTGTGCGGATGTTCATGGGCGACTGTGATCACTTACAATCACGTGAGCCGCATGCTCGTTTGCCTCCTCTTCCATAAAAATAAAATAAAGGACGAAGATTTTTTGCCTGTGGTTTACTAAGTGATGTCATTGTTTATGCGTAGGTACATGATGTTTTTGCATTCCAAGTACCTTTTTGTTAACGCATAACGAAGCCATTATAAATTAAAAGCGATTCAGGGCATTTAACAATTTAATCACAGTTTAATCAACGTTATCTTGGCCACTATAATCGCTGAACCAAAAGTTTACGAATAAGCGTGCAAGTTAAGTAAAGAGTTAAATTTTCCGAAACAGCAATATAAGAATCCTTATTTATTTCAATACTATACTTTGCCTCTTAGAATGTAGTAGTATTTAGCGGTATTAGCCGTCTCACTTTTTTGAATTCGTCAAATATCAGATATACAGATTCGCACATACTAAAACCTCTCGCCAGTAGCCTAAATAACTATTGTACATTCAGCATGTGCACCCCGTAACTTCATATCATTTCTTAACTTAATTAAGGACAGACCAAGTCAGATATACCTCAAAACCTGAAAACGAGATTGTACAACCAGTGCGTGTTGCCAGTGACGACTTATTTAGGATCTGAGACGAGGTATGAGGAAGCTCTAGGTCGCTCAGCGAGCTATGGAGAGGGCTATGCTCAGGGTTTTTCTGCGTGATAAACTTGGAAATGAGGATATCCGTAGTAGAACCAGAGTGACTGACACAGCCCAACGGATTATTAAGCTGAAGTGGCAAGGGGCCGGCCATATAGCACGAAGAACCGACAACCGATCGGGAGCAAGGTTCTCGAGTGGCAACCTCGTACTGATATTGGAAGTGTGGGACTTAGAATTATTTCTAGGCCATACAAACTTGTTCCGTGCAGGATTCGAACTCGCGGCCCTTAGCGCTGCAACTCAAATGCCAAGCCACTGCATCATGAAACCGTCAACCATTTAGGAAAATATGTTAATATATCTCTTTTCTCTCTTCTCTTATTTTTAATTTTAGAACATGCAAATCTCTTACGATATTTTCCTTTTATCCTAAATCAAACACGTGGCATCTCAATTTGCAATTAGTAACATATTCGGCGATAAATAAAACATCATGAAAAAACCTCATGATACGACATAAAAGTCCAAAAGTTTCATATATCCTTACCATAGGTGTTACTTTAATTTCATTGTAATTAGATATAAATACTTACCTCTAAGAACTCTGGCGTCTTATGTTCTCCATTCATGATATCAGTAAGAACTAAATCTAGTTCTAGATTTAAAACTCTTGCGGTCATCATAACAGCCCGACATGGCGGTGATGGTGGGAGATAGTATAATTTTATAGGCTGGTCTGGCATCTTCCTGTCTTTGGATCGAGCTACAGCTTTACTAAAAATATTAATGAATGATCAGAATCGGTTTGAAGAATTAAACTTACTTACTTATCTTCACGCACAATCCCTGACGGGGTAGCCAGAGAGAACAGATCGCCAAGTGTCACGATCCTTACAAACCTCTTTCGCTTCTTTCAGATTCATTATCTTCTTCATGCATGCACGTCTAGGTATCCGAGTACTTTTGACCCTACCCTCTTCGAGAATTAAACAATTAAACAAACGAAATTTAAAAACAAAAAACATGGGTGTTTCGTGGAACACTCGGTTGGAACGAAGTTCCTTTCATAGTATATTATTATTGATTAACTAATTATATTATTTATTAACAAATATAAATAAATAAATTATTATTTAACGTCTATTAAAATGAAGCGTCATTTAAAATAAAATACACTATGACACAATGGGTAGTGACGAAAAAATCTTATACTTTCTGTCGCCTAGCTCCCATCCGCCAAACCCGTACCGTCCGATAAGGAACTTCGTTCCAATATCACAAGAATAATCTTTCAGTTTATGATACATGTACTGGATTTATTGTAAACCGTTTGAGCCGCAACTTGCTCGACAGACCCAAACTATCCATGTTTGATACCATGCGTCAGTCGACATTCGTCATCGAACCATCAACGAACATTAACTGTTTATTGGTTAATTTAGGTATCATATTTTGATTACAAAGAGCCATACTTTTTCCACCGACTTCAAAAAGGAGACGGTACTTGAGTACTCGAATTGATTCGACTGTATGTTTTTTTATGTGTTTACCTCATAACTTTTTTTTGGGTGAACCGATTTCGATGATTCCTTTTTTATTTGAAAGCTGGTGCTTCTCATGTGGTCTCATATAAATTTGTTTAAGGTCTGACTAATAGTATTTAAGTTATTCTTAATAATTTATATAGAAGTCGGTTGTACCAAAATTTTTATTTTAAATTATTGTTAAACAAATTGATTCCGAGCGTTTTCAGTTACTACAGTTGAATTTCGATATATGAAATTTGATAAGAGTTGCTAAGTAAAACCTGCGTAAAATCAGCGCCAATTATTACGTTAAAACTAGGGCACCACATTCATCTATTAGTAACTTTTTCTACGGCTTCGAAATATTTCTCACTTTCGCGATATTTGCGATGCAATTAGCATATTATCATTCTTGCCTTGATTAACCACTTTCTATAGTATTTAACCAACCGTTTTATTTTAAAACGACTGAAAAATTGGACGTAAGGGATTCTACCGTATACCAACTTATAGTTGAAATTACACATTTACGCTATGCACCTTTCTACCTAATCAGCAATAAGAATTTTATTACCGGTGTGTAGAATGTGGTCAAATCTTTTAAAATATAATAGCTAATCACATCCAATGTGATAATTTTTTTTTATAGAATTGGGGGCAAACGAGCATGCGGCGCACCTGATTGTAGGTGCCGACCGCCCATGAATACTAGGGGAATTGCGGGTACGTTGCCGTCCTTTTAAAAGCTGAAAGTTCGTTTCTTAAAGGTCCCTAAGTCGTATCGGTCCGTAAAAATCATGGGTGATAAACGATTGCGATTGTGAAAACTCATAGTAAATCGCACGGTGATGGATCGCCAAACATCCAGATGGTGTGGATGGTATCGTGGATTTTGTCGCAATGTGCGTATGTTATTACAATATTATAACTAACATAACTACTTTTTTCATCTAAATAAAAAATAAAATAAGGTTTGGTAAAATAATCTACCTTTTCCGTAAAATAAAAGCTTTTAATAAGAATGCTAGCTTAGCTATAACAAGAATAAGTATTCCACATATAACCCGTTCACAATATTTAACTACTATACTATAACTACTTATAATTAATAATAGGTCATAGTATCCAGTATCATTTAATCCAAATAATAAAAAATATTGTAGCATTTTCACATTATCCACATTATAGAAAATAGAAGTGGCTTCTGTCGTTTTCAGAGGGTTCGTTTATTTTTTGAGTTTATGTTTTCATAAACAAATAATTTTGTATTTTGAAACTTATCGCGATTTGTACTCGCGACACTGCAAAAAAACCTACCTCCTGCTTTATTGTTTACGCGTACCGATTCTCGTGACACTATAATAGCTCCAGCACTGTTGATAGCTTCTGACTATTTGGCTTTTTCGCCGTCTTCCAATATTATCTTAATCATTTGCAATGTATTTTATATTTTCTGTTAGCAATTAAAACATTGTCACCATGATCAGACGTACTTCAAGAAGTAATATATAGAAAATTTATTACCCTATTACCAATGATTAGGAACAGGAACGTAAAGTAACAGAAAGCAAAATGACCACAGGCGTAAAATAGCATTCTGCAGGATACATTTCGGAGAGTGTGCACAGGAATTGCACATTTTAGTTTCTTCTTTTCCCTTCCAACATCGGACAACCAGTCGCTCACTAGTCTCCAACCCTTCGGTGTCGACTTACCGTGCATCCGAAACAAACAGTTTGCTTCGTCGTTCGTCATGCGTGCAGCAAAAGAGTACAATAATTAAAAGCATCTGTCTTTCCACTCGATTACAATGCAAGTGCCTTCGAGGCAAGATTGAAAAGTTTTTACTGTACTCACCACTTACTATCAGGTGGGATAAGAGTAAAGCACTAGCTTAGAACAGTTAAAAAAATTACGGCGAGCGCTTAATATTATGTCATCGATATATTTTTTGATTTCTCAGACATGCAAGTTTTCTGCCGACTTTAATGTATTAAATAATCAACGACAATTATAGTGGTTCCGGCATCGTAGTCTAACTGTAATCTCGGCTTTACACGGACGTCGAAGCCTCCAAACATAGTGTTTTATATAGTTCCGTGAAAATCGCCCAGCCATCAACGATCCGGAATAAATAGTATTATTGTGATGTATAATAAGCATCCACCATCGACGTAACTATCTAGTTTAGAGAGATAATCGTGAAGTGCCACCATTTAACTTTGTAATTTGATTATGTTATTGCTAAAACTTGCTGGTTTTATCTAGCGATTCCCAGTCAACTAAGAATATACAGGATTATTTAGCAATAACCGGCCAAGTTTGCAGAGAAAGTTCAGAGGAAGTAATATAGGCAAATGGTGAAGAAAAATAAATTTAAAAAACCTCAAATATTCTGTCCTTTTTATCTTTTAAATTCAAAATTCTTGGTTATGCTTTATTTTACCATACTAAACCTATGATATTAACTGATTGTCATTCATAAAAAATTTAACGCATAATAAAAAAATTTACTACGCACGCACACATTCGTAAGGGTCGATCGGTCGACAAAAACCTTGTGAATTTAATCGCACACAAAGGAGCACGCGTACGCGTAGTTGTTGCCCATAAAACACATTCAATTTTGGGATAATTTCAAATAACAGTAGAAGTCTTATTTACTCTTATTTTCAAAACCTGCAATAACGGTATATCATCTATACTAATATAATAAAGCGGAAGATTTTTTTTTTGTTTTTTTGTTTGTTTAAACGTGCTAATCTCTGGAACTACCAGTCCGATTTGAAAAATTCTTTTTGTATATTATATCTAGATTCATGTGGAATAGTATAAGCTATCTAGCATAACGCTATATCACTCAGCTAGCCTTAAATATGGATATTTGTTAAGCAAGTCAGAAGAAAAAGCACTCCCGAAATGATTTATCCGCGTACGCTGATGTTATCGTTAGGGATACGTAAATTCACGGTCACGAAGGACTGAGGTGTTACCTCAGTCCCCCGTGATCGTGGTTAAACACGATAAAATCCGTAAAAAAAGTAGTTTTATTCAAAATCTCTAAAGTAATATATTCTCTTACGCCACCACCATTATTAGTAAATTTTATTTCCACCACCACTATTAGGATTGCTTTATGTTAACTTTGTTATATTTGTTCATAAGTCCATCACTTGTTTTGTAACTTACCCGCTTATATCAAATATAAGAAGTAACGCGAAGACGGACACGGCTGGCTTCATTTTCTGGTAGTTACGTCTCTACCAATGTTTTCTACAATAAAGACGCACACACATATATAAAATAGACATATCCATTTTCGATTTAGAATGTTCCTATTACAAATTATTTATTTCCCATTTGGAAGTTATTAGCATAAAAAAATTTGTAACAGGGAGAGTAGTTGCATTGTTTACGACTCTACTTGTCCCCCGCTCTGTGTGTATTATATTCGTTTTTTCGAGAGGATGGTCTAAAGTGACCCAAATTCGCAATGTATGTTGGTTTAGTGCCAAAAAAGAAAATTAACAAATCCGGACCAGTTGGCGCTGTGGTCGATCTATTTTATTTTATTTTATTTTATTTTATTTTTACATTGTAAAACGTCCGGAGGGAATTCGAAGTTAAACTCATCCCGTTACCTACCGGAGAAGGCAGAATAACATCTGCTAGGCCAGCTAATTAATTTATAAATATTTAAAAACACGATATTCGGATAGATTTTTCAAAGAATGATAACTAATCTTTAAGAGTACCAAATAGGAAGTTGACAGTTTGGGTAAAGTTAGTGGCGTTGCAAGGGATACTACCGTTCAGAGCCGATTAGCTTAGTATTTGTTTATTTAAATCTACAATCAACGAAATCAAAATGTTTTTCAATTGTTAATTCACAAATAAATGAATTTGAGTTACGTGACTGTATGACATTGGTCCCTTGGGAGAGAGGTAAAGCCCTAGTGTGGGATGCTACTTGCGTACACTTTGGCGGCCACTCATCTCAAGGGTACCTCGTTTAGAGCGGGGCGGCATCAGAGGCAGCTGAACTGAGTAAGTGGCTCTGAGAGATGACTACATATTTGTGCCGTTTGCTGTAGAGACTATCGGTCCATGGGTTCACGTGGGGTAAAGTTCCTAAAGGAACTCCATCCGCGACTGGTCATTGCTGCTGGTGATAAGAGGACTGGTTATTTTCTCGCTTAAGGTGGCACAAGTCGCGG